CTTGGGTCAATCACAAGTTCTTTCAGAGCTGTTCTCTCAAGGGCAGTTGTTGCGAGGGCTCTCTCAGCTCCACGTACCTCACATGGTGTCTGTTGTGGGGAGGGGAAGATTCTTCTTCTTTCTTCTTCTTCTTCTTTCTTCTTTCTTCTTCTTCTTTCTTCTTTTTCTTCTTCTTTCTTCTTTCTTCCTCTTCTTCTTTTTCTTCTTCTTTTTCTTCTTCTTCTTCTTCGTTTCTGAGCTTTAAAATTATCTGTTGTTTGCCTTTCAGAAAGAGGGGGTAGGTGCCGCCATGGCTAATGCTCTTGGCTTTTTGTTTTCTAGAGAACAGCGTGAGAAGGAAGAGATTGAAAAATACCGAATGGAACGGCCCAAAATCCAGCAGCAGTTCTCAGATCTGAAAGTAAGGAGGGAACAGTCCTTTGTTATTGTTTCACATTCCAAGGTTGGAAACCACCCCCACCCCCACCCCCCCAAATTGTAGTGACTGAAGAAAAAAGACGCTTGGCAATTATATATGAGTAATATGTATAGAATCTATCTGTAGGCGCAGCTTTCCCCCCTCTTCTTGTCTCCCTTCCCTCCCCATATGCTATAGAAACAAGTGAATGACAGAGGAGGAGAATCTGTGGGTGTTGCATTGTGGGATTTTCCCTTTTCATGGAGGTTGAAGATCTCTTTAAGAGCTCATTAGGGAGGAAGTATAGAGAAACCACAGGAGCAACGGTTAGTAAACAGGCCCCAATATATATATTTACATAACCCTTTTGTCTGCTTTTCATCACTGTTGTAAACTTCAGTCATATATTGAGAGGGCAAAACGTTGACTCATGTCTAAACGTTCGATGATCTGTTGATGATCATTCGAAACGAGTACAACGGCATGTTTCTAATAGGGGAAATGATTGGCTTCTCATATCTGTCGTTATGAGCCCACGCCTCCGCTGTTACGGCATCCAAAGGGATCTGGGGTCGGAAAAAGGGAGAGGCCAAAGAAAACTGGGTGCCATGGAGAACTTCGGACGGGGAGCCTCTGTGATATTGGCAGGGAGAATGTTGACAGCTCAGGGAATTATGAAGATTGTCTGGAGATCCAGAAAGCAGGGAGAACAGCTAGATTTGAGCCCAAGTAGTACCTTAAAGCAGTGGTGTCAAACATGCGGCCCGGGGGCCAGATCAGGCCCCCCTTGGAGGGCTTCTCTCAGGCCTGCAGTGGATCTGGCTGTCTTCTGCTTCCTGTTCTGCTCCTGCTGCGTCATCGTAGGTTTGCAGCTTACAGATACACACCTGAACAGCACACTGAAGCTTGCAACAGCACAGACATTTTGATGCAATACTTCAGAGCAAGAGGTGTCAGTTATCAGACACTGCTCAATAAACAAAATATTGCAAGAGTGCTATTGTTTTAAGCATGTTTTTATTTTAAGTGCCCTTTATAAAGTTTATATCTCTGTTACCTGGCATGACATTTGTGCCCTTTATAAAGTTTATATCTCTGTTACCTGGCATGACATTTTATGACACACACGGCCCGGCCCAACAAGGTCTCACTTATGTCAGATCCGGCCCTCATAACCGATGAGTTCGACACCCCTGCCTTAGAGGCCAACAAGATTTTTTTAGGTATGTTTTCAAGAGTCAAAGCTGCCTTCCTCAGATGGGAGCTTTGACTCTCAAAAGCGTATACCCCCAAAATCCCGTTGATCTCTAAGGCCCTAGTTTTACTATAGACCAACACAACCACCCTCAGAAACGGTCTTCGAGAGAAAGGGGGGCCGAATAGATCACCGTCGAACGTACGGGCTGAATTGAACGAAATTTCACCCCGTTCTAATGTCCTCATAATCTCTCCTCTTGTTGTTCAGAGTAGCAGACTCCCGAACTTGTTGTATTTGAGACATAACTCCATTCATTGGGATTTATAGTTCAAAAGTCGTTTTTATATATGGGAACGGATCTGGTACTAAATTATTATGTCACAAGAAGGCAGACCAGCGATACTCCCGGGGGGGGGGGTGGAGGGAGCAAGCACCAGGTAGACTCCTCTTGCTGTTCAGAGTAGCAGACTCCCAAACTTGTGGTATTTTAAACCTGACTCCATTCAGTGGGATTGATAGTTCAAAAGTCATTTCTATATATGGGAACGGATGATACTAAATTATTATGCTATTATGTTATAACGGTTGACGTATGTTGAAAACTTTGTGGGTGATTAACCGGCTGGTTTGTAATTTTGGATTCTCAGGACTTTTGCATACTGTTTTGCAGTTATTGTACATGTTATAAGTCACACTTGATCTTAATAAACATTTTAAAAACCAAAAATAAAATAATAATCTCTGTCCTTGGTAGAGGAAGCTCGCCGAAGTCACCGAGGAGGAATGGCTGAGCATCCCCGAAGTTGGCGACGCGAGGAACAAACGGCAGAGGAACCCGCGTTACGAGAAGCTGACGCCCGTTCCCGACAGCTTCTTCGCCAAGCACTTGCAGTCCGGGGAGAACCACACATCTGTCGATCCCAGACAGACGGTGAGGGGGAAGAAATATAAATCCGCCAGGGCTCACTGGCAAAAGCAGAGCGGCCTGACGCAGCAGACTCTCTAATGGGAACGGGTGGTGATTTTTGCTCATTGCTCCCTAGGACTCCATACAATCACAGAGTTGGAAGGGACCTCCAGGGTCGTCTAGTCTGACCCCCTGCACAATGTAGCAGGACATTCACAAATACCTCCCCCTTCACCAATGTTCCCTCTAAGTTGTGGAGTCTTGTGAGCAAAAATTGTACTTTGTGAGCCCCTGGCATGAAAGTGGTGAGCGAGTGATTTGGCTCCTGCATAGATTAGTTTGCTCTGGAGCCCTCCTTCCAGAGCTGAGACAAAAATGTGTGAGCCGGAGGCTAAAAAAACTGTGAGCTAGCTCACACTAATTCAGCTTAGAGGGAACACTGCCCTTCACACACACCCAGTGACCTCTGTTCCATGCCCAGAAGAGGACAAAAAACTCTTCCAGGATCCCTGGCCAAACTAAATCGCCAACAAAAGTAAATGGATAACGATGCAAATGGGAAAGTCTGTTGCATGGGCGAGAAAGGCCTTACCAAAACCATCTACTGTTAATGCAGCTGATGGATAAATCCATGTATTTTGTCAACCATCTGACTGAATGGCTTGAAATGACATTGGGTTTTAGCCCACATTTTTTGCTGTGATAGATCTTAATGATTGTTTATAAAACTGTAATGTATATTAGAGTGTTTATTGTTATTGCGATTGTTGTACTGTAACTCTGATGTTGTTGGTATTTTCGGTGTTAAATGCTAAGGCTGTGTGCTAATGGAATAAAGCTGCTGCTGATGATTATAGAATCATGGAATAACAGATTTGGAAGGGACCTCCAAGGGTCATCTAGTCTAACCCCCTGCACGTTGCAGGAAATTCACCAATAACTCCCCCTTCACACACCCCCAGTGACCCCTGTTCCATGCCCAGAAGAGGAGAAAAAACCTCCAGGCTCCCTGGCCATACTGGCCTGGAGAGAAATTGCTTCCTGACCCCTAAAGTGGCGATCAGCATTTCCCTGGGTGTGTAAGAAAGGGAATATCTCCGCTAAGCATACCCGAGGGTCCACTGGCCCCCCGGTGATGGAATTTCCGGGGGCTCAGTGAGTTGCAGCAGCAGGGTGGTAATCAGCAAAAACCTCTGCCTCCATTAAGATTTAAAGGCACTTGAGTTTTCTTAACTGCTTGGGGGAATGCAGGCCACTGTCATGATAGCCAAACTTTCCTTTGCTTACTGACAAAGAACTTGCAGTGAGTGGCAGGCCCCCTCCCCCCAAAACCCCCCAAAACTTTGCACTTTGCAATTGACATCCTTCCTCTGTGCCTGCCTCTCCTGTTTGCAATCATAGAGCCAGTTTGGTGTAGTGGTTAAGTGTGCTGACTCTAATCTGGGAGAACCGGGTTTGATTCCCCACTCCTCCACTTGCACCTGCTGATGTGACCTTGGGTCAGTCACAAGCTCTGCCACAGCTGTCCTTGAAAAAAAGCAGTTTGTGTCAGAGTTCTCTCAGCCCCACCCACCTCACAGGGTGTCTGTTGTGGGGAGGGAAAGGGAAAGGAGTTTGTAAGCCGCTCTGAGACTCCAAGTGAAGGGCGGGGTATAAATCCAATCTCCTCCTCCTCCTCCTCCATAGTACCCGGCTGATCCTGCATTGAGCAGGGGGTTGGACTAGATGGCCTGTATGGCCCCTTTCAACTCTGTGATCCTCTAAATGATGTGAAGGTACAATGTGTATTGTAATCAGTTTGATTAGAGCAGAGGGGAAATGCTCAGGAGGTGTTGTTTTTAAATCAAGTGCTCTAGTTGTGACCGAGAACTGAGCATGTGTTCTCTTTTATCACAGACTTCTAATGACTTGGCTTCCTCTTTTACCCCTGCAGCAATTTGGAGGTCTGAACACGCCCTACCCTGGGGGCTTAAACACTCCTTATCCCGGTGGGATGACCCCTGGGCTGATGACGCCTGGTACAGGTGAGCTGGACATGAGGAAGATCGGCCAAGCGAGGAACACCCTGATGGACATGAGACTCAGCCAGGTGAGGGGCAAGGGGCAAAAAGCTCTCTGCAAAAAGCCGTGGGAACTGCTGTTCCCTCTTGCGGGAAGGGAGGAGGACACTCTTGACAACACTCGGATTCCTCTTCCCATAATCCCTGGAGGCAGTCCAACAGGGCTCAGAGGCCGAGGCCTTCATAAGAACATTAGAAGAGCCCGGCTGGATCAGACCAGTGCTCCATCTAGTCCAACATCCTGTCTCACACAGAGGCCAGCCAGTTCCTCTGGAGGGCCAACAACAGGGCACAGAGGCCGAGGCCTTCAGAAGAGCATCAGAAGAGCCCTGCTGGATCAGACCAGTGGTCCATCTAGTCCAACATCCTGTCTCACACAGCGGCCAACCAGTTCCTCTGGAGGGCCAACAACAGGGCATAGAGGCCGAGGCCTTCATAAGAACGTAAGAAGAGCCCTGCTGGATCCGACCAGTGATCCATCTACTCCACTGTCTCGCACAGTAGCCAACCAGTTCCTCTGGAGGGCCAATAACAGGGCATAGAGGCCTACACCTTCCCCTGATGTCGTCTCTTGGCACTGGGATTCAGAGGCTTAGTGCCTCTGAAGGTGGAGGTTTCCCTCAGTCACCAGGGCTAGTAGACATTGATAGATTTCTCCTCCATGACCTTATCTCATCCCCTTTTAAAGCTGTTTATTCCTGTGGCCACCACCACATCCTCTGGCAGCAAATTCCACATTGGAATCGCTCTCTGCATAAAGAAGCATTTCCGTTTGTCCATCCTGAATCTACTGCCCAGCAGCTTCATTGGATACCCTTGAGTCCTAGTGTTTTGCGAGAGGGAGAAAAATGTATCTTTGTCACTGCTCTCTGCCTTGTCGGTAGTTTTATAAACCTCTATCATTTCCCCCCTTAGTCATCTCTTTCAGTCGAAGACTATTCAGGGGGTTACCTTTCAAACCTGATTGCTGTGTGAATGCACATGAGGTGAATATGCTTTGTGGTTCAGTGATTTCAGCCCACCGTTGGGTTTCCTTCCCAGGTGTCTGATTCCGTGAGCGGCCAAACCGTGGTGGATCCCAAGGGCTACCTGACCGACTTGAATTCCATGATTCCCACGCACGGTGGAGATATCAAGTAAGACAACAGGCGCAGGGGTTGGCACTGACTTGGCTGTAAGGTTTTATTCCCTATGAAGGCTTCTTCCAGAGAAGCGGGTGCATGCCATTCATTTGGCACGAACAGAACGTGGGCAGGTCGCCAGCCGTCGCTAATCTGGGAGGACCCGGTTTGATTCCCCACTCCTCCACTTGCACTTGGCTGGATGACCTTGGGCAAGCCGTAGTTCTGATAAGAGCTGTCCTTGAAAAAAAGAGCAGTTTCTGTCAAGAGCTCTCTCAGCCCCGCCTACCTCACAGGGTGTCTGTTGTGGAGAGGGGAAGGGAAAGGAGTTTGTCAGCCGCTCTGAGACTCCTCTGGGTGGTAAAGGGTGGGGTATAAATCCAGACTCCTCCTCCAGTTTGGTGTAGTGGTTAAGTGCGTGGACTCTCACCTGGGAGATCTGGGTTCGATTCCCCACTCCTCCACTTGCACCTGCTGGATGACCTTGGGCAAGCCGTAGTTCTGATAAGAGCTGTCCTTGAAAAAAGAGCAGTTTCTGTCAGAGCTCTCTCAGCCCCACCTACCTCGCAGGGTGTCTGTTGTGGGGAGGGGAAGGGAGAGGAGTTTGTAAGCCGCTCTGAGACTCCTTCAGGTAGTGAAGTGTGGGATATAAATCCAGTCTCCTCCTCCAGTTTGGTGTAAGACGTGGCTCAGAGAGCAGCTACTTGGCATGCAGAAGGTCCTAGATTCAACCTCCAGCATCTCTGATTAAAGGACCAGACAGGAGGTGATGTGCTGACCTTGATGGACTGAGGGTCTGATTTCAGTCTGAGGCAGCTTTGTGTGTTCGTGTGTTCAGCTCCCCTTCCCCTTCATGTTGTCGCAGTCCCATTTGTTCATCATCAACATCAAAGGTTCACCGTCACCTGTTCTCTAGCTTCACAGTCACCAGTATAGGGTTCACATGTATAAGTACATACCTAGTAACACTGAACATGCACCATTCCCTTTGTTGGCTTCTGTGCCCACAAACACCCCCCCTTCCCCTCTCTGTCCTCCCCCCAACTCCATTTGCTCTGTCCCCTCCCCCACTGCTTTTGCCATTTTGGTGTAGCGGTTAAGAGTACAGACTCTAATCTGGGAGAACGGGGTTTGTTTCCCCACTCCTGCACAAGCAGCTGCTGGTGTGACCGTGGGCCAGTCACAAGTTCTCTCAGAGCTATTCTCTCACGAGCAGTCTTTGAAAGAGCTCTCTCAGCCTCACCTGCCTCACAGAGATGCCTGTTATGGGGAGGGGAAGGGAAAGGAGATTGTAAGCCATCCCAGGACCCGAAGATTTCTCTTCTCCTTCTTCTTGCACATCTTTACACTCCTTCCATTCATTCCGCCTTCCACTGTTTCCTGGATCAGGAGGGGAACATGGCCGAGGGGTAGAGCACCTGCTTGGCCTGCAAGAAGTCCCAGTTTTAATCCCTCAATCTCTCCAGTTAAAAGGACCAGGCGGTAGGTGGTGTGACAGACCTCCGCCTGAGACCCTAGTGAGCAGCTGCCAGTCTGAGTAGACAAGACCGACCTTGATGGACCGAGGGTCTGATTCAGTAGAAAGCAGCCGCTTCCCGTGTTCCTCTCCATGCGGTGCCCATTTCCTTTCTTACGCTTGTCCCTGCCGTCAGTGTACCACAGTTGCTGGAGCCCGTTTGCTGGAGCCCATACCAGCCCCATTCTTTACGTGGATACGGAGAAAGATTAGCTGCCCGACAGTTACGTCGAGTGCCCTCTGTGTCACTTAGAAGAGGGCAGGGAGCCGTTCCAGTGGGCAGCAGAGGAGAGTACTCGTAATCATGGGTTTAAATGAAGGACGGGAAGGTACCAGCCGGATCTTAGGAACACCCCCCCCTTTTTTTTGTACAATACATTTTTATTGATTTTTGAGATCCTGATACCAGATGATTCAACGTACATGAATTGGTGTACAAACATACTTGCAGTTATTGAGCAGTCATGCAACAGATAATGGAAAAACAATGTGAATGGGAAACTACATGAACTTTTAGCTTTGAATTTTAGGTTTCTAGCTTTCTAACACCAGTGTCTTAACTCTCTTACCAGCAGTACTTTGTAGAACTAATTAAGGGACGATGATTGAGGATAAAGGGCACCAATGAATATTTGATTATTACCATAGGTGTAAAGCATCTGTTTCCTTAGGGGTATCATCAAATTGTTGTAGGTACTCTAGTATAGGAAACCAAATAGCCACAAAGGAGGAAGGAGCTGGAACTTTGTCAAGTCGCGTAAGGTTCTCTGAGAGTTTCGCCATGATGCATAAATCCCACAATTTCTTTTTCTTTTGTAATTAAAATTTTTATTCTTTTACAAATTAATACAACAGAAAGCAAACAAGTGAATAACACAAACACTAATAACGACAGGAGGGTATACATTAGAGGGATATAAGAGTTGAGAACACAGTAATTACCAAACTGCCCATGAAACAAGCGTAGCCTTGTTAAAGATCCAGGAGACAAAGATTGCTGTGCTGGACTTATTATTTATCATATGACCACTTTGACCCCGTACAGCAACAATCAGAATTAGGGGCCACCTAACATATAACCTAACCTGTCTCTAGTTCCAGCTCCTGCCAACCTAGCAGTTCGAAAGCAAGAAATTGCAAGTAGATAAATAGGTACCACTTCGGTGGGAAGGTAACAGCATTCCGTGCGCCTTGGTGTTTAGTCATGCCGGCCACATGACCACGGAAACGTCTTCGGACAGCGCTGGCTCTTCGGCTTTGAAACGGAGATGAGCACCGCAACCCTAGAGTCGGACTCTACTGACTTTCGAGCAAGGGAAACCTTTACCTTTTTTTTAACATATATAAACATACTCATCTGTGCTATTGGAAAGACCACCCAAGGAGATTGAGTTTAATGGGGAGACTTACTCTATGTCCCTTGGCTACTCTGACCCCGTACGTCAATGTTCGGAAAAACACCGATAACTATGCGGTTAACTAGATTGGATATTACGTTACAAGAACAACCACCGATGATAATTTAGACTCGTGGGGAGAATGTCATGTCTCTCCATATCGTATACCACCGGCGACCAGACTTTTCTAAATTTCGTATGTATTCCCAAGAGTGGTGACTGATTCTCCCGGTTCAGGTCCGCGACTTTGGCCATGACAAATCCCACAATTTCTTGTGCCAGTGGGGAATTGAGGGCGGCATTGACGTTTTCCAGTGTGTGGCAATGA